TGCGGGGCACCCAGATGCTCAGCTCCCCTGCTTCCGGCTCAGAGAGGCTGAGGGCAGGGGAGCATGGGGTCAGCGGCCCAGTCCCCAGGGTGGATGCCGCAGGCATGGGCAAGCCGTTCCCCGGGGCCCTTGCAGGACGGAGACCTGCTCCCAGCTCCCCTCCCCACGGAGGGAACCCCGGGGAGGCGGGTGGCACTCATGGCCTGTGCCTGGGGCCCCCACAGTGCGGCCTGCCAGCCTGGAGAGCTACCGCTGGCTTTCTCTGATGGGCAGATTGGGTCCTGTCTGGGTTTGTGCTGCCGTGGCCAAGTTGTTCAACCTCCATAGGACACTAAGACCCCCTAGAAAGAACAGTATGATGGACAGAGCACAGGGAAACACGGGTGTCCAGGGGCAGGCAGATAAGGGCTCCGTCCCTTGGTCAGGGGCTAAGGTGAGACACAGCCCAGCCCAACCCTGAGGGAGGGGTCAGGTCGTTTGGACCCCACCAGGGTTCCCTCGGGAGGCTTTCGCCCACTGAGTGCTTGTCCCTAGACTCAGGGAAGAGGTTCTGGGGGCCTCGGGTGTCCTTTCCTACTCTGTCTCTGCTAGTTTCAGGGACGGGGCCCTCCTGTCCCAGCTGGTGGCCACCAAGTCGGGAGGTAGGTATCTTGTCCAGGCTCTGCCCTGGCTAGGGGCATCCTGGGCCCCACTTTCTTTCTGGGTAACAAGGGTTATTTAAGCTTCCTCCGAAACCACAGGAGGGGTCCCTGACTGGGGGCTGGGGGCTCCCTCACCCACCTGTTGCCTTGATGGCGAGCACGGAGGTGGGAGAGCTCTGTCCGCCTCAGCACTGGGCAGTGACCTGGGGCAGGGCACCCATGGGGTCTGGTGAGCCGGGGTGGGCCTGACACTCGCGTGTGTACTTCTTCCTTGCCTCAGAGTGTGTGGGGGGCCCCCAAGTCGCCCCCATTGTGGGTGGCACTGTGTCTGGCGTTGTGGCCATCGGCATCCTTCTGCTGGCCATCTGGAAGATTCTGACCCACGTGAGTGACCTCCGCGAGTACAAGCGGTTCGAGAAGGAGAAGCTCAAGTCCCAGTGGAACAACGTGAGTGGCTGTCCCTGGGGTTGAGGCTGTCCCACACGCCCCCCCCCATGCTCCCCAGTCCACATGCCCCCGTAGTTCATCTGCGGAGCTGGGACCCCGGGATGGTCACCCCCACTCCTGGCTTTCTTCCCCTCCACTGATGAGTCGCCCTTCCCTCCAGGACAACCCCCTTTTCAAGAGTGCCACTACGACAGTCATGAACCCCAAGTTTGCCGAGAGCTAGGGCACTCAGTGAACCAGGCGGAAACAGCCCAGCTCGCATCTCCTCCAGGGACGGGGTCACAGTCCTCAACAAGTTCACCCGTTAACCTGAAATCCCACTGTCGTTTTCTGCTCTTGAGATACTAGGTATGGTCGGTGACAATATGGACGTGTCCGAAGGGACAGCCTCCCCCTTCTGACGTGTCTGACCTTGTAGTAGAGACTTGAAGAAGGAATCGCTTGGGTCTTAAATGAGGTTCGGTGTGTTTTCCTATAAGACCTAGAGCGGCAATCTCATTGTGGTACAGATTTATTTATGTTTGAACTTATTGCGGTATAAAATCACATTCCGTTGGTGACGTGTTTCCCAATCGTGTGTATGGAAAAAATAAAAACTTCAGTTGACACTCTGCATGGAAGCTGGGCTCTGTGCACCCTGCGAGGGTCCATGTGGCCCGCGGGCCGTGGCGCGCGTCTCTCCTTCCTCGCCTGTCGGCCGGGTGTCCATGGCCCTCTCCGCCCCACCCCTGCCCCACATCCTAAGCAGCTTTTAGAAGACTCGGGGCGGCTTCACAGAAGGCGGCCGTCCGCGGAGCCGGGAAATCGGCATCTGAGTTTTAAAGTAAGTTTTTTTCTCGTGGGCTACGTCACATGAATCCAGCGCCACGCAGCCACGGGACATGGCCCCATCTTGTGGCATGGTGGTATGTGTTGGTGTCCGTTGGTGACAACCAGGACACAGGAGCACCCACAGTCGGCACAGGTCAGCGGGCTTGGTGTGGGCCAGGGTCAGGGCAGGGGGGAGCCAGGTCGGGGTGGGGAGGGAGCCCGTCGGGGGTGGGGAGGTCCCACAGTCCCCAGGGGAAGGGCCACGTTCCGGTCCCGTGTAGCCACAGCGGGATGCAGGCTCTCTCTCAGCTCGCACACACGTGGATGCGAGAGGCTGACTCGGTGCAGGGGGGCAGGGGGAGGGGGCCTGTGGGTCTGTGATCACACACGTAAACACACCCTCAGAGGGCATAGCCCGACGTTATTTCCTTTATGTGCATACATGTTAAAATCCCATCCTAACTCTTGACTTAAAAACAGCCCCTCAGTGGGGCACCTGGGTGGCTCCGTCAGTTGGGTGTCCAACTCCTGGTTTCAGATCGGGGGTGATCTCAGGGTCCTGGGCTGGAGCGCACGTCGGACTCCATGCTCTGCCGGGGGCTCTGCTTGTGTGCCTTGCACACACAGGCTCTCTCTCTCTAAATAAATATTTGAAACAAAACACCCGAGCCATCATTCAGATGGCCCCGAGGGGCACCGCCGCATGCCCCTCGCAGTAGAGAAAGGCTGAGCCAACACCCCTATTCCTTGCTGCCGGGGGGCCCCCGAAGCACCCACAGAGCCGGGGTCAACGGGACGGTCGGCCACACGGACGGCCGTGTTTCTACTGCACCATCAAGCAATGAACTCAGTTCTCTGAGGACCCCGGGCACGTGTCCCACCAATCCGCCCCAATTCCGGTAATGTCTGTCTGGAGGTAGCATCAGATCCCACAGGCCAGGGGCTCAGGCCTACCGAGCTGCTTCCCCTCCTTCCGGGGCCAGCTGCAAATCCCGGCTGGCTGTGCTTCTGATGACAGGTCACGAGTGGGTTCTGGGACTTTGCGAAGTGGCTCACTCGCTGGGTTATGGGTTTATTACAAAGGATGTGAATGAACGGCCCCACAAAGACAGGTGTAGGGCGAGGTGGGGTGGGGGTGCCGAGCTTCCATACCCGGGGGTCCGCTCGCCCCATGATGTGGTTTGGACGGTCAGGGTCCAGAGCTGATGGCCAGGAAAGAATTCTTCCGACCCCTTTGGTGCAAGAGGGGGTCTTATGAAAGCGTGGGCCCGGGACCACGACGCTTCCGAGGGATCTACTGAGCAACTTCCGCACTTTGGAGCTCGGGAAGTAAAAAGGGAAGTTTCCAAGAGGACTTTCCTGTGCTCAAGACTCTCGGGATCCTGGAGGCCAAACCCTTGTCAGGTTCTTCCCTCTAGTGAGGGACGCAGACAGCAGGGAGCTTCCCAGAAGGTGACCCTCTGCCCTCGTCAAGCACAGGTCAACGGTTACAAGGACATCAACTTTACCTGCATTCCCTTCTGCCTCTGTCCCCCATGTCAATGCTACCCTGGCGCCCCCATCCTGCGCAAACTGGCAGCTGGGCCTACGCGTGGGGTACCTGGCGTTGGGTTCCAGACTTTGATTGTAAATTCTCTGTAAGGGGCTCTGCTCTGGCAGGTGGGGCAGCCAGAAGGGACAACGCCCCATTACGGCCCAGGCCGGCGGCCCGTTCCAGCTCCGTCTCAGCCCAGCGGGCACCTGGGGAGCTGGAAACGACAGCGTCCCACTGAGGCGGACCTCACTGCCCAGGGGCGGGCGCCGTCACCGTCTACACGTGTTGCCCGCTCAGGTCAGCGTGCGGCTGGGTTGAGACTCACGGACCCAGCGCCGCGCGGCCACAGGCCCAAACTCCACAGCGACTCTGTCGGAGATGCAGTACTGGCCTGGCTGTAGACCCAGCCTGCTGAGCCGGGAGCCCCATGCAGGGCTCAATCCCAGGACCCCGAGATCATGACCTGAGCCAAAGGCAGAGGCTTTAGCTCACTAAGCTGCCCAAGCGCCCCTGGAGGCAAACGTCTAAACCCAGGCAGGGATGTATTCATTTCCAAGGGCAGGAACTGGCCAGGCCACCATGCTAGCCCCAAGGCACCCTCCTTCTGGTCCTCAGACCTGGCACTTACCTAGTCCAGCCCTGGGGGTGGTTTCCCACACCGCAGGACGGGGCAAAGGTGAGGTCAAGCTGCCTCCAGTGTCGCCCGGACCAGGAGGCACAAATTCACAATGACTGACAGTCCTGGCACACGGGTCCTGGCACACGGGCAAGCTCAGTTCTAGGGGCGGTGGGACCCTCCCAGGGAGGGGAGGGAACGAAGTTTTAGAGGCCACGGGCCGACCCACTGCCCGACGGGGCAGTCTAGACCCCCGGATCAGACTGCAGCGCCCACGGCAGTCCCGCCTCCCTCGGCGCCGAGGCAGGGGTGGGACGGCAGAGCCACTGGCCCGCGAACTGCATGGGGGACCCCCACATGCCGGGCTGGCAGGCGGCCCCCCGCGAGAGGCGCCCCAGCCGCGCCCCCGCACCCCCGGGGCTGCCCAGACCTGCGGCAGCTGGAGGTGCGCGGCCCGCCCCCGCGGTCACGCAGACGGTCCGGACGCAGCGGCCGCCGGCGGGGAGGCGGACCCGGACCCGGGGCGTCTCCGCGCTTCTTCCCCGACACGGGCGCCCGCGGCCCTGCGAGCTCCCCTCCGTGCGCACGGGGCCTGTCCGGCTGCGGGCGCGGACACCACCACCAGGTCCCCGGGCCACCCTGCAACCGCCCCACGGCCTCAAGGTCCAGGTCACCGAAGCCCCGTGGCCGGCGACACCCACTACGTCCCGCCGCGCACCCCGCAGCCGCGCAGGCGCACCGAGCCGCAGCAAGCCCCGCCCCCTGATGGCCCCGCCCCCGCAGCACGGCCTTCAGCCGCGCACGCGCACTGAGCCGCGCTCTCCGCGCCTCGGGAGGCGGGGGAACACGGGCTGCGGAGGGAGGGCCGGTCGGCTGGGGCGGGGCGAGCCGGGACCCGCGGCTGAGCACTCGGCCGCGCCGCTCGCCCCGCCCACTTCCGGCGTGAGGCTCTTCCGGGGGTGGGGGGCAGACTGCCTAGCTCCGCCGCGGAGGTGGACAGTGGCCGCCTGACGACCGACCCGCCCGGCCGAGGGCCTGCGGCCAGCATGGCGTCCGGCGGCGCTCCCGGGCTGATGCGGCGCTGGCAGCTGCTCCTCAGCGGCGCCGCGCTGTTCCTGCTGCTGTTTTCGGCGGTCGCGGCGCAGGAGTCCGGAGCGGGTGAGGGGACGCGGGGTCCGGGGCGGGGCGGGGCGGGGCGGGGCGGGGGGGGGGGGGGGCGCGGGGGGCGGGGAGGGGGGGGGGGGGGGGGGGGGGGGGGGGCGGGGGGTCGGGGGCGGGTGAGGGGGCGCGCGGTCCGGGTCCGGGCGGGGAGGTGGGGAGGGACGCAGGGTCCTGGGCTGGTGGAGGGGCCATCCTTTGTGTTGGTTCAGCGTGGGGCGCTGTGGTGGGCCGGGCCTGCAGGGTGGTCCTGGCCCAGTACCCGCGTGGCCTCCCCGCCGTCCTCTCTGAAGGAGGCGGGCGGTTTTAGATTCCAAGTCTGAAGGGGGAGCTTGGAAGCTGCTGGCCCCGCAGCCGGCAGGTCGGGGTGTCCAGGTGCCAGGCCCGTGGAGCACTGGGGGTAGGGCAGGCGGAGGTGTGGCGCAGGGGGCACCACTCCGTCTGGGAAGAAGTCACTGCGCGCCTCGGTGGAGGCAGGAAAGCAGGGTGCCAGGGACCTGCCGTGTGTGCACGCGGTGGACCTGGGGCAGGTGTGCGTCCTTACTCTGCTGCCAGGTGCTGGGACCCTGGTGGTCCACAGACAGTTCCTGGGGGGACCGGCCGAGAAACAATGCTCTCGAAGGGAGTGTACGACCCAGGGCCAGACTGACATTTCAGAAGGTTCCAGAAGTGCAGTATTGCGGGAGGGTGGCCTGCTGTGGGGCCGTGGAGGGGGCCGGAAGGCCCTCACACTCAGGCTCTGGGCCTGGGGAAAAGTCCAGGAAGCTGGGGAGTGTCAGGGCTGGGCCTGTTTCAGGACTGTGCCTGCTGCGGGGAGGGGGAGGTACCGTGTGATCACTGGTGTGGCATCCAGCGGACCTCGGCCCCAGGGCTTACAGGTCGCACTGCCTTGGGGCCCGTGTTTTTCTCAGCTCCCGGCTAGCCCAGGCTTTGTTAGGTTCTGCGTGGCACGGCAGAGCACCCTTCTTGTGTGACCCTGTTGAATGTTTATTTCCCTGTGGGACCGGTCTCAGCTCTGCTTCCGTGTGTGTGTGTGTGTGTGTGTGTGTGTGCGCGCGCGACCTTTCCCGGCGGCTGTCTGGACGGTGGTGAGTAACGCAGTGGGACTGCGTGGTGCTGGGAGCAGTGCGGGTCGGACGCAGTTGTAAGCGCGGTGTGGGATGGAGACTTGCTGCTGTAAAAGGTTGACAGACTGCTAGTGTTTTCTTTCTCAGGGCCGGGGGGGTGTGCCCGATTGCAGTGGGCGTGTCAGGAGCCCCGTGATTGCTGGACCGCTCTGGGTTTTGTGCTGCCCTGGAGTTGGCCCTCTCTGCGGTGAAGGAGGGGTGTCCTTTGGTGACTTTAGTTTGTTTCCTCGTTGGGGAATTAGACCAGGGCTGTTGCCGTGGTGGTCGGGCTGCGGCATCCCACCCACCGTAACGGGGCGGAAGCTGCCTGTCCTTTGCTGTGGCCCCCAGTGGTTCCCTCTGTCTGGTGGCAGCGCCGCAGTTCTGGGCGGGTGGTGGTGGGCTGTTGTTCCTCTTATCAGTAGCACCTTCAGAGGGGAGGAGTGATGCGCTGTCAGGGGGTTGCCCCCGGTATCCTGGGGTCTGCGTTTGCCGTTCCTCAGGGTGCTGTGGGAGCAGTGAGGGCCCCCGTCCAGAGGACGTGCTCAGTGTGGGGTTTTCTGCTCATCTTACGTAGGAATGTGACTGCACTGGCCACGACCTTGGTGTTCCTGCAAGGGTGTTAGTCAGGGTTCTCCAGAGAAGCCCAACCGGCAGGGTGTGTGTAGCTGTGGGGAAAGGCAGTATTGTGAAGGGTCGGCTTGCGTGATTGTGGAGGCCAGGAAGTCCCAGGACCTACATCTGCAGGTTCGAGCCCCAGGACAGCTGCCGAAATTCAGCCTGTGCTGGCAGCGCCCAGGGCCAGGAGCACCCGTGTGCGAGGGCAGGAGAAAACAGGTGTTCCAGCTTCATCAGAAGGGCTTAATCCTGGCTTCTCTGGACTTTTTGTTCGCTGGGGCCCCTCTGTGGATTGGGCCATGGCCACCTCCCCTGGCAAGGGCAGTCTGCACTTGGTCTACCGGTTTGAACACTGATCTCCGGAAACACGCGGAAATGTTTGAGCAGCTCCCTGCGCCTCCGGTAGCCCAGTCAGGCTGACACGTAAGTTAGCCGTTGCAGCGGTCCCAGACCCACGGTTTCCGGTGCCTCATTACTGTGCCTTTGGTGGCCAAGAGACGCAAGGACCCAGGGCACGCTGAAGGTCTGCGGAGGGAGGCTCCTGGAATCACCGTGGAGCCCACGCTGTGTGTGGGTAAGACTCCGTGCCAGGGTCTCATCTGTATATCGGGGGCAATGACCCGGAGAGCCAGTTGCCTGAAGGACGCAGAAGAGCTCTGTGGTGGCCTGTCCCACCCTGACTGCCCCTTACCAAGGGCACTGGACTTGGAGGGGGGGCTTGCTGTTCCTCTCCAGCCCATCTCCTGCTGAGAACCAGGGCTTTCCAGACCTGTGTAAGGGCGCTACAGCGTGTCTCCACGTGCTGCCTGTTACTCGTATATGCACACGCCCCCGTCTTACACGGGTCCGCCGGAGGACTTGGTGACTTTGCGGTGGTGCGAAAGCGAGAGGCATTCAGGACAACCGGTGCTTGGAACTGGGGATGTGGGTCTTTGCCCAGGTCAGCAGTGTGCAGTCCTGTCCGGAGCCGGGGCGGCCCTACGGTCACACTGCTGTTCTGTGGGTCACTCGGGGCGGTGTCCGGTCAGCCACGGGAGTAGTCCACGCTCCCTCATCAGACAGGCTGTGTGCGCGGTGGTTCTGGCCAGCTGTCGGCCACCAGAAGCGTCCTCAGCATGGTTGAGATTGGCCGGGTGTAGGAACCGGGTTCGTCATGGGATCTTTTCCACGTACAGTGGGGTTCTTGGGGTGTAACCCGTCCTAAGTCAAGGGCTGTCTGGCACTCGTGGCTCTTTTGTTTCTGCTGAGATACAGAGATGAGCAGCACCGTTTGTGCCAATGAACTTTGCACCCTTGTTCCTCATGTGACACGGGTGAGGTCGGTGCTCTGTCCCTGGTGCTCTGCCTCCCAGGGGCCCGCCGGTGCCGCCCTCTGGCCTGTGGTGTGACACACGCACAGTGGGTGTGTGCTTACTCGTTTCTTCACCTTTTCAAAAGAGATCTCTCTACGCATGCCAGCGCGTGTCCTCTGTCCTGAACGGGCTCCCCGGAATCTCGAGGCCACAGTGTGACCAAGGGCCACAGGCTGACATATCCAAACACAGGGACCTTTCTTTTTCTTCATTTGGTCTTTTCATTTAGTTTTCGAAGGGACCAGCATGTCAGGTTTTCTAACCATTGGTCAGTGGACCCTCAGCCGAAGATCCCAGGACTTCCAGAGCCGGGATGTTGACTTCTAGCGTCAGACGTAGAGATGGGAGGGCGGCGTGGACTTGTTTGGCGGTCAGCGCGTGGTTTTCTGCGCCCTGGTCCTTGAAGCAGGAGCTAGGAGTTAATGTATGCCGCCCAGATGCTAAGGTGACCTGGAGAGAGAGAATGGAGCAACCTCTCCCCAGGGCTGCTGGTTCTCAGGGGTGCCGTCTGCGGTTTCTGCGGCCTCGGATAGCTGCCAGGTGCGGGTCGGGGCAGGAGGGCACTGGTGTCTCTGGACTCTGGCTCTCTGGTCCAGAGGCCCGGGGTGCACGAGGTCGATGGCCTGTGTCTTGGAGCGTAGTCCACACGAGTCCAGCTGTCAGAAAGACTTCAGAAAGGAAAAAAAATCCCATGAGAAAGTTCCTGTGGCCCCCGCCCCCCGACGTAGCCGCTCTGTTAAGATTGACGAGAAGTACACCCTTTCTTGTAGAGTTTTCCAGAAGGACTTGCGAGGGGGCGTGTCAGCAGCTGTGCAGGCTTTCACAGCTGCTCCCTGCTGCCCCTGCCTGCCCCTGCCCGCCTATTTAGAAAAATGTCAGAGCTGCAGAAAAGTGGGTGGAAGGAGCCCTACGCGGACCTGCCACGCTCTCTGTGCTCGGCGCTTCCCCGTCTGCGCTGCCCCTCCCGCTGCTGGGCAGCTCGTTACCGTCGTAGCCAAACAGTCAGAACTTGGCTCTCACCGGCCCTTCGCCCCGATGTCCCGCAGGGTGTGCCTCCCGAGGATGAGTGCGTTCGGGTCCGCGGGGGAGCGCCCCGAGCCCAGTCTGGCCGGTCAGCATTGGTGTGCTCCTCGAACTCCGCAACGTGGCCTGCGCTTTCTATACGCGTTCGCTGGGGGTCCCGTAACGTCCAGGACCCCGCGAGGCACTCGGCTCCATTCCCCCGGATACCGCCGCGGTCGGTCTTGTCTGCTGTCCTCTGGCGTGGATTCCAGGTGTTGGGACCGGATTCAGCCATGCTCGGCCGTTCTTCCCCTGCACCCCTAGGGGCCCCTGCCAGCATCCGTCCTGTTGTCCTGTCCTCATCTCCTTCTAAGGAGACACTTTGAGACTCGAAGTGTCTGGTCACCTCACAGACGGGCACGGTGGTCTTGGCATCCAGGTTTACTGAGGCTGCAGAATGGCAGGCCTTTAACCCTTTGCCTCCGCTCTGCCCTGGCCGATTGGCCCTCTCTCTGTTGGTTCCATGTCCGTGTGAGATCCTGGACCGTTCCAGAGGCTAGAGTCCATGCTGTCAGTCACTCTGCCACTCTGTCATTGTCCCTGTTTGGCAAGGATGACCCCCCAGTCAAGTGGGCTTCTGGGTCCTTTTGTCATTGACCCCGAAGTTGGCGCCCCTCAGGTGCGGCAGTCTGCCTGAGGTCCAGCTTGTCCTTCTCTGTCCCAGTGCTGGGATCTGCTGTTTCTCCCGGGGGACAGTGTCTAGAAACTAAGTCCCCTGTGCTGCTGGGTGTCGTCCTCCGGGCCCCTCAGCAGCCAGGGTGAAGGGTTGGGTGTTGTGGTGGAGTCCCTGGCCTGGCCCAGGGGCCCGGGCCTGCTCTGGGCACGGCCAGCCCCGCCGCCCGGCGCCTGCACCTGCCGACGGCTGCCGCGGCCCTGGGGTGCTTGCAGGAATCCAGGTGCTCCGTGGGTCGTCCGTTTTCTTTCCTCCCTGGAGCCAGGTCAGGTGTGTGGTAAGAGAAGTACTGGGCAGGGGCTTCCGCACACCGCCAGGGGCTCTGCGAGGAGCGCTGTCCAGCAGGCACGCGGGCCAGCAGGTGCTCGGTGGGCTTCCGCGCTGTAGTGAAGCAGGCTCGTGTTGGGCTGGCAGACTGTGGGCGAGTCCGACCTGACCGGTGCCAGGCCGCTCTGTGCGTGTCCTGCTCAGCGGGCACGACGGGCGCATTCATAGCCGAGGGCTGGAGTGCCCGGCCTGCGTCTCACACGGGGCTGTGGGCTGCGCACAGCCTCCCCTTGGGTGATCTACCATGTCTCCTCTGTGCCCGGGCTGTCCTGTGCCCTCCCGAACCCTCTGTGAGGCTTCGTGAAGCCTTCACTGTGAAATGCAGGGTCTCGTGTGTGCCGTGGGACGAGGGACACCTGTGTCACCCTGGCCCCCTGTCCAGCTCTGGACGCGCCTCTCTCCCCGGAGGTTCAGGCCACCGTGGTCCCTTTCCTGGTGTAGGGGAGTTGCTCCAGGGCTGCGTGTCCCGGGAATCCATCAGGATGGTCTTCGTGTCGGGTTTCCGCGGGTCCCCGGAGTACTGCTAAGTTTGTCCATGTGTGAGGCGCCCAGTGCACTTCTAGTGGCTCGCAGTGTCCCGTTGCATGACGCACCGCCAGCCTCCGGTGCTGGGGCATCTGGGCTGCTCCGCTGGTTAAGCGTCTTTCCGTGGCTCGGGTCATGATCCCCCTTCCTGGGGTGGAGCCCTCCCCCCAGGGGCCTCCCTGCTCAGTGGGAAGCCTGCTTGTCCCTCTCCCTCTGCCGCCCCATGCGTGCTCCCTCGCGCGCTCCCTCTGGCTCTCAGACGAAGTCCTGAGCGTTTCCGTGCAGGTCTTCCTGGGGCCTTACACCCTGACTTTCTCCGTGCGCTACCCGGACGGGGGTGCTGGGCCCAGGGGAGGCGTAGGTTTGGTTTGTGAGCAAACGCCCCCTCTTCTCTTCAGCGGTGGAACCGTCTGCCCTCTCGCCTCCCAGAGAGTTCCCAGTGGCTCTGTGTCCACGCCAGCACTGAGCGTTGAGGGTCTTTCTCGTTTTGGTCCCCCTGGTGGGTCTGGGGTGGGGTCTGCTTCTGACGGTAGCCGCGGTTCCTGCTGCGGGTGAGCTTGCACGCACGGTCCAGTCCCCGTGTGTGTGTTGAGTAGTGGGGTGTGGTGCTACATGCCGGAGGAGGGACGGGCGTGTTTCGTTCATATCCTGGTTCCTTCCTTGTGATTCACTGGAGTTCCAGACCTGCTGGCTGCCTGTGGTTTGGCCAGGGCCACGCGGTGCCTCAGGACTGGCATCCGCTGATTGTGGAGCCTCTTCCTGCAGGTCTGGGGGACCTGGGGGGCTGAGGCCTGGCTCTGGTCTCGGGGGCCTGGCATTGCTGCGGCCTCTGGCTCCAGGGAGAGTGTGTGCTGAGGAGCCAGCGGGCCTGGGGTCTGTGGGACATGGCCTCTGTGTGCCGAGGCCTGTTTCCCCCACGACCCCTTGCAGATGGGAGCCTAGGTGCTGGGTCTGCGTCCTCCCTGAGGCCCTGTGGGTGCCCCTGGAAGGCTGGGTGCCAGGAGACGGTGTGTGGCTCCGGGTTTGCGAGTGGAACCTGTCCCCCTCCCCCCAACCCTCCCGAGTGCACATGAGCCTGGCCTGACTCAGTGACGTGTTTTCTTCCACACAGCTTGCTCCCAGAACACAAACAGAACCTGTGAGGAGTGCCTGAAAAATGTCTCTGTAAGTAGCACAGCCCCCTCCTCGGCCCTGGGGCCCCCTTGTGCCAGACAGTGACCTGCTGGGGCCACCCGAGCTGCTCCCCACCAAGGACAGCCATCCTCCTGAGCTCCTGTGGCTTTCAGTAACACGGTTAGAAAGCTGGGAAGCTTTGGACACTGGAAACTTGGATTATTTGAAAATGGAGGATTTACCCAAAGTTGTTCTCTAGGACCAGGCCGCTGCAGGGAGGGTGGTCTCCTATGGCCAGAACGGAGGGGCCTGACCGTTACTCTGCACGGTGTACGCACGCCGTGTAGCTCCAGGAGAGCCGGGGCTCCGTCTTCCTCATGTCTGCAGTGGACTTGCCCCCTGACCGGGGGCTCAAATACCTGGTTTTTTTCTCCTTTTGAAAACCTCAGAGAAGACAAGTCTGTGAAACGCTTACCCTTCGGACTCAAAGTACCAAGTGCAAGGCCTGACCCGAGGGTCTAGGCGGGCTACCTGAGCACCCGTCCAGGCCGCACGCGTGCCCGTGGTGCCGGGAGGCCCGAGTGGGCCAGCGGCCTGTGCTGCTGTCTCTGCACCTGCGTTCTCAGGACTCAGACTGGAGCATCTGGGAGGTGCCCCCCAGCTCTGAGGTTCTGGGCCCGGGCCTTGGAGCTAAGATGCGCTATTTATTGTTCAATGTATTTATTCATCTGAGAGAGACGGAGACAGAGAGAGAGGATGGGCAGGGGAGCAGTAAACTCCCCACTGAGCAGGGAGCTGGATGCGGACTCCATCCCAGGACTGTGAGGTCACCGTGAGGTCCTGAGCCGAAGGGACCCAGGCGCCCCCAGATGCACTGTCTATAAGATGGCCAGGCACCCCAAGCAGTTGGAGAGGCCAGTGTTTTCCAGGGTCACGAAAGCCCAGTGATAGCGACTTACTGCGCTCTGCCTGTGGGCCTGCCAGGTCCCGCCTGCCCCCTGCAGATGAAGGGAGATGGGCACCCTGCTGAGTAGGGGTGCTACTGACGGGGAGGCAATGGGGAGGTGGGGTGGTGGTGAGGGGGCGCTCCTTCTGCTATGACTCTGGGCAGGGAGCCACCTGGCAGCTTTGAGGACGTGCACGGAGGCCAAGAGGCTGGGCAGGGTGCCTGGTGGGAGAGGGTTTGCGGAACCTCAGCCCTGGTGGGCCACGTGGGTGGAGCTGATGGGGTGGGGCAGGGGCCGAAGCCTTCCAGTCCCGTACTGGAGGGGGAGCAGGAGGGGGGGGGGGGGCAAGGCCCGGACGGTCTGGTTCTTGAGTGCGTGTGGTGCACTTCTGACCTGCGTGGAACGTCCTTCTCTCCCAGTGTCTATGGTGCCACACCAGCAAGGCGTGCTTGGACTACCCCGTGAGCAGGATCCTGCCGCCCAGCTCCCTCTGTAAGCTGAGCTCCGCACGCTGGGGCGTGTGCTGGGGTAAGTCTTCGTTCTCGCTGCGTTCTGGCCAAATGCGTGCTGTCTGCGACAGTCTGGTTGTGCCCAGTGAGCGTGGCTGCTGGAGCACGTGCTCTCCGCAGGGGGTCTGAAGCCTCCGCAGGGGGTCTGAAGCCGGGGAGAGCGCGCGCTTCCCGGGAGGGCTGCTGGCAGTCCCCTGGGGCTGGACGCCCGTGTCCCTGCCGGTCTGTGTGGCGGCTGTGTGGTGCCCTGCAGGTGTCCACGCCTGGTGCTGCTGGGGGCACGCGGGCGTCCCCGTGCCGCCGTCAGTGCGCTTGTGGGGCAGCAGCCCACACTCACTTCCACGGGTACAGTCACGGGGTCACTGCAGCAGGTCTGCAGACGGTTTCCCAGAGCGGCTGCGGGCGTTCCTGTTGTCCCCCGCTGCCAACACTTGGGGTCACTAGACATCTGGTGGGTGTGAAGTGGTATCTCCTAGTGGTTTTAATTTGCGTTTCTCTGTTGACTGTTGTTGGACACCTTTTAAGTGGGGGCACTTTTGATCAGTCTCCTGTGCAGTGAGGCTCCTGCCTCAGGGCCGTGGGGCAGGCCGCGTGCGTGGCTCGGGTCAGATGAGCTCTCAGCTGCAGGGCGGGGAGCAGGGAACAAGCCAGGGGCTGCGGGAGGCAGGCTCTGTGGGTGGGACAGGTGCCTCTGGTTCCTGAGAGAAGGTGCTCCTGATGTCACGTGCGGGGGCTGCGTGGACCTGAAGCGTGCCTCCTGGGGCTTGGGTCAGTGGGGATGTCCCTGGTCCTTGCGTGCAGTGAGGAGGGCTGGGGCGGTGCAGAAGGGGTGGGGGGCTTGTGCCCATGCCGTCCGGAGATCCCGGGAGAGCCCCCAGGCCCCCTAGATATCAGGGCAGCACGGAACTGTAATTCCAGACCTCACGCCACAGGAGCTCTTTGTTCTGACAGAAAACTTCAGAGTCATCTTATCCAACTCTTGGTGCAGTTGTTTTGGGGTTTTAACTGCGATGACCTTAGATACGTGTTCGTTTGAGAAACATGAGGTCTTCACAACACTGCCCCGTTGGCAGGAGCAGATGTTCCCCCCCCCCACTCAGGTCCCCCTAGTGGCTCAGGCTCCGTAGCTTTTCTGTGGAAAGCTCTGGGAATGGGGGCCCGCAGTGTTTTTTCCCATTGTGATCGGGATTTCTGTATTTTTTAAAAGATTTTATTTATTTATTTGACAGGCACAGGAAGAGAGGGAACACAAGCAGGGGGAGTGGGAGAGGGAGAAGTAGGCTCCTGCTGAGAGAAGGGAGCCCGATGTGGGGCTCAATCCCAGGACCCCGGGATCGTGACCTGAGCTGAAGGCAGACGATTAACTGACCTTCAGTGACCCAGCCACCCAGGCGCCCTGTGGGATTTCTGTGGTTGTAACTCCTTTTAGCTGCTAGTCAGAAAAGCTGTTTGGGGGCAGACGTGTTTCGAGCCAGGTATCTTGCTGACCTGCTGGGTGTTTAAAGTGCAGCGTTGGAAAGTTCTGTTGTCCACACCTGCTGCCATCTGCCCACGAAGGTCTTCCCTGATCACGTGCCGGCCATGACGGCACACCGTGCAGGCTCTTCCAGAACAGGTGGCAGGAGGAGAAGCCAAGTGATTTCGGCTCGGAGGGCACTGCGTCAGACGGGACCCTGATTCTGCTGGTCGGGGGTGCACACGGACTTGAAGCCAGCCTGTGAAGCTCACGGCCGACCCGTGTGGTGTGTCGGGCTCCCGGTGGTGGTGTCCCTGTGCATCCTGATGCCGGGCCCTCCCCCGGCGCAGCACAGCACACGTGACCTGCAGTCCCAGGAGACAGAGCAGACTCGGGGGACCCCGCCGTCTGGGGTGGAGCTCCCTCCCGCAGCTGCCTCGGTGGCCGTCTGAATGGGACAAGTGGACACATTTGCCAAATACCAGAGCTCTTGATGGCTCTGGTTCGAATTAAATAGAAAAGCATTGGCGGGTTTGGGTTTATTTTTTAATTTTTGAAGATTTATTTATTTGAGAGAGAAAGAGAGCACATAGAGGGAAAGTGAGAGGGAGAAGCAGGCTCCCACCAAGCAGAGAGCCCCACGTGGGACTTGATCTCAGGTCCCTGGTATCACGACCTCCCCCGAAGGCGGACGCCTAATCAACTGAGCCATCCCAGCGCCCCGGGTTTGTGTTTATTATCAGCCCCTCAGAGAAGTTAGAATTGTAAAGCTTGTTTTAACTGTGTGTTTGTCTGAGGAGTTGGGTTTTGAGGGGAAATCATCACATTGGCGGCCGAGGAGGCAGCCGTCTACAGACTCTGCAGCTCCACGGTCGTCCCTCTGACTGCCAGGGTCAGAAGCTGTCCCTGAGGAAGTAAATGCAGGAGACCTTGAAGAGCCCAGGGGTTAGAGGCGCTGGTGCCCCACACTTGAAAATCCGCGCCTGACTGCTGGTTTCTTGGAAGCTGAACTGCTGCTCCCTGCCCGGGGACAGAGGCTTGCTGACGGCAGAGCAGTCACCTGTGCGTGCGTGTGCGTGTGTACATGTGTGCGTGTACACGTGTGCGCGCGTGTGTTACGTGCGCCCTGTGCTGTGCTCCCACAGGGAAGTAGGCCACAGAGAAGGAAATGTGCATGAGAAGGTCATCAGGAAGAGACCATGTCCATACAGTATGGGCCTGGATTTGGGGAGACGACACCCATAGACCACGGTCCTGCGCGGTGCAGACCGTGTTTGGGGGCCGGTGGTGTCAGGCTGTGGACTTGGGTTCAGGTGATGGGAGTAGCTGCCCCAGGCTTCACTTAGGTTTCCAGAGTTCCACGGAGTCTAGAAGTGTGTCAGGATGGACTGCACGCCCTGCGGGGCACTCTCCTCCCCGGTCCGTCTTGTTAAGTCGCCTCAGGCTTGCCGCGCTGAGAAATGCTGCTTTGTGGCCTGCGGCCTTGTGGCCTGGGGCTGTGGCGGTTCATTGAGAAGTTCTCAAGTCACACCCACACTGAGAGGCCATCTGGGGGTCGGCCCAGTTCTAGGACTGCCGTCTGCCCCCAGGGGTGGGGGGCTGCTTCGGGGCCCCGTCCTGACCCCCTGACTCCGGCTGACCTTGCAGTGAACTTCGAGGCGCTGATCATCACGCTGTCGGTGGTGGGGGGAGCCGTGCTCCTGGCCGTGGCCGTGTGCTGCGCCTGCTGCTGCTGCCGCGGGAAGAGGAGCCGCAAGCCGGACAAGAGCGAGGAGAGGGCGGCGCGGGAGCGCGAGGAGCGCCGGATCCGGCAGGAGGAGAGGTGCGGGCCGGGGCGGCCGACCTGCGAGGCCGCGGCAGGTGTCGCCTGTGGGCCCGAGGTCTCTCCAGCTTTGGGGGGCCTGTGGGCTGCACGCTGGGGTTGTGGGACAGCGCGTGGCTCTTGTCCTCCTGGGCGGCCGTGGGTGGGACAGAGGCCCAGCACACGCCCGTCTGCCTGTGCCTGGGGCGGGCCCTTTGCGGCCAGCACGCCGAGACCCCATCCTCTCCTTCTCGAGGAGCGCTTTGGGGAGCGCGCGGGAGGCAGCCACAGGCCAGGCTGCTGTGGCAGGTGTGGCGGGTCCCCGGGCCTTGCCTGACAGGGGAGCGGGAGTGTGGCTTGGAGACGTGCTGCTGCGTCAGGCCAGCTGCCAGTGGGCGCTGTCCCCGCAGGGTCATCACCCCTAGAGAAGAATGAACACGTGTACATTCCCAACCTCGTTCAGAACATGGTGTTAGATTTTCGCTTATCAGCGTGGTTTCTTTACATGAAAAATATTTTAAGAAATCTTAGTATTAGGCATTTGAATTGCCTTTGTTAAAACAACCGAATGACAGGTTGCGGGAGCGGCCTCAGAAGACGGCCCAGCAGACACCCGCGCCTGTCCCCTGCCTCTCTGGAAGGAAGTGAAGAGAACGTCTTTTAGCGTCATGAAATATTTTGATGCTAAATGAGATTCTTTTGTTTTTTAGGAGAGCAGAGATGAAATCGAGACACGATGAAATCAGAAAAAAATACGGTAAGGGCGGATGGAACGTCCATATCCGTTGGGTTTGGTTGGGAGCTGGTGCCGTGCTGGGGGCTGCGACTGTCTCCCTCGTCCGCCCCTCACGCTGGGCAGCTGGGCGCGCTCCATGTGGACTGGGACGAGCGGACCCACGAGTGTCTCGGAAGATGAAGCCCGGGCGTGTTTTTCTGTCTTCAGACTTCCCGGTACTGCTCACTCCCGGGCGGGGGATGTGATCAGGCTGTGTGTGGCTCCTAGCCTGTCCCCACGTTTGGGAGACACGGGGTGTGCGTGGTGGCCGCGGGCCTCCCCCACCTCGCCACCTCAGGTGCATGCCGCTCCCACACCTGACCTTGCGGGCTGTGCTCCCCTCAGGGACTGGGCCACAGCTGTCCGTGCTGCCCAGGCCTTCTGTCTGGTTTCGTTTGGAGAGAGTTTGGGGGCCGGGGGGTGACTCATTGTTTACTGACTGAGAGCATTAAACCTGCTCTTGCGTGGGGTTGGAGGTTGGCCTGGACTGGGAGAAGGGGACTCACGGGGCCTCCCTGGCGACTGCCACGGGGCCTGCAGTCCTGGGCCACGGAGCTTCCCTTGACCCCGTGACGGAGGATCATACGCTCTGTGGTCGGTGAACCAGGCAGCCGGGCCAAAGGCTAAATTGGAGGAAAATTTCAAAATCCTTTCCAGCTAGTGCACTCATCGCGGAGTTCTCCGTGTGGAGGAACTATTTTGTAGTGTTTCAAGATCCTGGGCACTAAATAGCGAGTCCCCAGGGCTCAGTTCCCTCTGGCCCCGGGCCACTGGCCACATGCCCCCACCTCCATCCATTCGGCCTCCTCTGACTGTCACCCCCTTGTGCTGGGTCACCCGGGGTTGGGGGTGACCCTGCCAGCCTGCGGGTGTTGGTTCCCAGGCACGAGGCTGCCCCGACTGCCCCTCCTCCCGCTGCTGGGTCTCCTCTGTCGAAAGTGAGACGTCCGGCCGCCGAGTGCCTTCTCTGGTTAGCGCCCGCCCGGCCTCCGTGTGCCCCTGTCTCGGCCAGCCTTGCGTGTCCCTCTCGCTGCCCGTGGCGCTGGCCCGGGAGTCGGGGGCTTCCTCCCCGTGTAGGTGGTGACCGACTCCATGTGGGCGAGATGCCCTGTCTAGCGGTCTCGGCGCAGTGCCCTCTGCCCCCGGTGCCCACCGAGCGTCTGCTCCCCTCAGCTGGGCCCCTTGGTCTTCCAGGACGGTGAAAAGCGTGGAAGGGAGCTTGTAGGCGTCTGATTAACGCCAGTGTAAATACAAGACCAGACACGCGTGTGCCCGGGCACTCACACGGACTCAACCGAAGTGTCTTCGTTGCCCAGCGCAAGTAGTTTCCAGGCCTTCCCCTTTGCCCTGTGCTTGCGGGCCTGGCCACGTCTCAGGCCGGGCTCAGGGGCAGAGGCCGTCCCTGTAACAGCGCCCGGGGCGGCTGCCGCCAGCCGTTTCAATGGTCCGGGCCGTGCTTGCACTGACGAAGCCCGCGCACACCTGCTGACGTGAAGCCTGTAGAGCGGACTGCACTTCGGCAGGAGCTGGCGGGAGGGTTCCCGGGGGCCCACGGGAGCCGCGGGTCGGCACACCCTGCGGCAGACACACAGCCCCGGCATGGATGAAGCCCTTCTCTCGGCTCTAGAAGCCGTTCGACTTCCTGATCGCAGAACCTTTTGTCCCCCTCGAAACTAGAAAGACAGCTAGGAGCCGTTGGGCTCTGTCTTTCCCCAACATGACGGTGTGTGTGGCGTTTGGCATCTGAACACCCTTTACCCGACCCCCGTGGGCCTCCTCCCCAGGCCTGTGGCGCGCGGTCCTCCCCCTCGGACGGACCCGGACCGGCAGCCCCGTGTCCCCAGCATCTCCCGCAGCGGAGGGCTGTGTCCTAGCGCCCCTGGGGATGGCAGCAGGTGCAGGTTTCCGAAGTGGGGAGAGGCGGTGTGCGTTTGTGGGTGCGGGGAGGGAACTCATCTTGGCGCATTTGGCACCAAAGGCTGACGACCAAGTACGTTGTAGTTATGTCAGGACGCACGACGGGGGATTGAAGGTCACCTCGTTCTGAGTCCGTCCCATCACGAGGACGAGTAAGGGAAGGTGGTTTTGTAGGTCACCGTGGTTCGGTGTTTGGAACGGCATGGCGCCGTGCTGCACGCCCGGACACCCGTCTCTCGTGCGGCCTCTGTGGGTGTGGGCGGAGAACTCCGAGGTCCTGCTCTCCCGCTTCTCGCTGCGCCCCGTGAGTGCCTTTGTAACCGGGCTCTGTCGTTCCAGGTTTGTTTAAAGAAGAAAACCCGTATGCCCGGTTCGAGAACAACTGAGAGCACCGCCCGCCCCCACCCCTGCCGAGGACACAGCACATGGCTGCCCGCGCCCTGCGAGCTTCTGTCCCCTTCTCTATATCTGTCCTCAGTCACTTGAGACACTAAGCCTGTTGGGGGGTGGGGTGGTTTGGTTTGTTGCTAATGTGAGGAGGGAAGGGACATTCCATCACTCTTCTCCGTCACTAAGCCACCTGTGGGCGAGCAGCCCACCCCTGCCTTCCGTGCTGATGGGGGAGGGAGGTGGGGAGGATGGCACCTGTCCCTTGGCCTCTCCCCTTGAGCCCAGCGGCATCTCCAGGTGGCGCGCAAACAGCACCAGGGTTCTGCTCACCTTGGGTCTGTGTCGCGTTTTCTTTCTTTTTAAATAATTCTTGGATTTCATTCTTCCACCTAGAACATTCCACCTAAACTTACTGTCAAAGTTCAGACCACTTATTGGATAGTTTTTAATTTGTATCTTTACCAGAACATCAAGATTTTTTTTCCCAGCGGAAGCCTGAAAGCTGCCTCTCTGGCCGACTGCCACCGGAACACAGAGCCGCGGGGCGTGGACAGGCCGCCACCGCCCTGCTCGCCTTCCTGCCCGCGACAGCAGGTGGCAGGCTCTGTGTGCGTGGCGCTCCTGTCAGGCTGGCGGCACCGTGTCACTTGGGGACCCTGGGTTGTCCCGAAAGAGGGAGGGGCCAAGCACCCGCAGGCCCCTCTTTGGGGCTCTGCGCACCGGGGACGCAGGGTGTCCGCCCGGCGAGAGGGGTTTCCACGTGTTCCTCAAACGGGCCCCATCCCGGAACCCTGCTCTTGCGGCTGTGTGGGGAGGACTCCTGCGGAGGCCGCATCTCGGGAGGCTGGCCGTGGCCTCCAGGCTCGCCTCTGTGCGGTTCCATTCCTGTCAGATCAAGATCTAGGACTTCAGGAAACAGACCAAGCGTGTGCTGTCCAGGGCGGCAGCCGATGGTGACGGGGCTGTCAACAGCCTTTCTGAACTCTGAAAACAGGCCCGGGTGCCGCACGGCTTTGGATTAGGAAGACATTTGGCTTTGAGAAAGCGGGTGGACAGGAACATAAAAGGACGTATTCTGCTTTCCCACTTGCGACCCTGCCGTCAGAGCCCTGTCCCTCAGGCGTCCGGTGAAGTGCTGCGCCGTCCCGGAATTCCCACAAGCGGGGAAGCTGACTCCGCAAACTCTGTCGTCTCACCCACTTCTTGGGCATTTGACTGCAGTTTAAAGTGCTATGATCCATTCCTAAGTCTCCCATAGCTGCCTGCAGACTTTGTCTTTCACTGTGTATTCATACAAGAAACTTTGTAACCGACTCCGGCAACCCTGCGTTAGCACAGCAGACTCGTAGGCCGCTGAGCCCCCGCTCTCCTACCCGCATGTAATCCCGGCACGGGGTGCGGAGCCCACAGCAGGGCGCCTCGAGGGCTGTCTCAGTCTATGCTTTTTTCTGGAACAGGCCTAGAGCAGCCGTATATTGTAACCTCAAGGAAACCACGAAGCTCAGAGTGCCTTAGTTTTAACCAGTTTCCAAAAAACAGTTTAATACACACTTTGTTCAATACACTTCGTGTCCTCGTGTCTCATTTCTCCGTGGTATTAGGTGACTGCTTGAAGAGCAGCAGGTAGACCTTCTACATAGGGACTTTTTTTTTTTTTAAGGTTGATTTATTCTGATGGGAGTGAGCGTGGGTGTGGGCACGTGGGCACAGAGGGAGAGAATTCAACCCAGGCTCCACGCCCAGTGCGGAGCCTGGCATGGGGCTCGATGCCGTGACCCTGAGATCGTGACTTGAGCTGAAACCAAGACAGCGGTCAGACACTGAACCGACTGCGCCGCACGGAGACCTCTGACCCATCCCCGGTGTGAGAGCAATCCCGGCTTCGGTGCCATGGCCAAGGGGGCGACTGCCACATCCTCAAGTTGTCTGTTACCTGTTACCCCTCTCCCCCAGCTGTTTGCTGTGCATCAAACAAGTGCAGAGACTCAGGCTGGTTTTCTGGACACCCCTGCCCCTTCTCCCGCCCAGCACTGCTTTGCTTCAGCTTAGCTGGAATCAGATACAGAGAAAAGGGAAAAAGCGGTTCTGCCTGGAGCTTCGTGTCCTTGTGTTAACTGCCGGCAGACTCCCCCCACCCCAGGGTGGGGGTCTTCAGTGCCCGGCTGGTGGGGAGCGCCTGTCCCTCTTCTGAGCTGCTGCTGTGCCCATGTGATGGCGGCTGCAGCCGTGGGATCCCTGGGACTTCCTCTGTGCTGCAAACTCTGAAGTCTGCGTCTGTCGGCACCATGATCCCGTGTGAGCCCACCTGGTGTCCCCCCAGGGCTGTGCAGGAGCTGCACTTGGGCACTTCTGGGTCACAGGGCGGGAACCAGGCAGTGTAGGCTCGTCCTGGGACATCGAGGTCCAGGTGCAGTCATGGGGTATCCCTGTACCCCTCATGTCCTTAGGGTATCTGGGCCATTCAGGAAACACCTCGGATTCGTTGAGAAAGTTCAAAGTCTAATTATGGCAAGACCGGTGCTTGGCAAGGATGGGGGGATGGTGAATGAAGTCCTTCCATCATGATGTCTGCTCTTGAAAAAAGATCCCCTCGTTGGGGTTTAAAAAGCATGCCGTCAGGTGGGTAGTCCGTGGCCCTGTCCCACCAGCTCGTTCTTGCTGTCCTTCCAGAGCCCGTCTGTGTCATGTGCGGCTCTACAGGTGCAACTGAGCACGTGGCCGCCACCTCCCCGGGGGGCCTCGCCCCCCCCCCCCCCCCCCCCCCCCCCCCCCCCCCCCCCAGTGCCCCCCCCGGCCCCCCCGGCCCTCCCCCGGCCCCCTGTCCCTGCTGGCAACCCCCCCATCTCACTGGGAGGCGCTGCTGTGCGGCGGGCACAGACTGCTGCTGGGGGAGGCTGCCGGGGTGCAGCGGAGGCAGGACGAGAGGCGTGAGGCAGGGGAGGCCAGAGCCAATGCCAGCGGCGGGACCAGGCCCCTTCTGGCTGCGGCAGGTGGTCTGCGGCTCCCTGCCCCCCTCCTCCCACCCACTCGCCCCTTCAGACATGCTGGCTGCTCCTGCTGGTCTCTTCGGGGCTGTGCGGGGCCGGTCTCGGGGCCGGTCTCGGGCCGGCTGCTTCGGCGGCAGTTCTGGGTGCCGACCCCGCCAGGAGGACGGCAGGTGCCCCGTGAGGCCCCAGAGCTACAGGCTCCTGGTGCCCAGTGCTTTGCAGACACCTGCCATCTCGTGGTCGTCGCTGCCGCCCGAGAGCCACTTCTGCCCCACGTCCAGGTGGAGGAGCCTGCGGTTTTGGCGGCAGCACGTCTTTGTGGGGTGCCCTGGTACAGAGGTGTCCGGCCAAGCCTGACGGGGGGTGGGCGGGAGGCGCGGACTCCCGCTGCGGGATGCTGAGAGGGGTGAGGGCGCAGTGTTGCTGCACCTGCATGCCCAGTCCCATGCATTCTGCTGAGGACATGGCCCCCCAAGACGGCCTGTGAGTCCAGAGGATCTGCCCAAGGATAGAAATGGCTTGAGGTGCATGGACATCTGTCACCCCAGCTGCAACTGTGGGCAGATGGCCGCGCGTCTGGAGGCCCCAAGCCTGGAGATGTTGACCGCTGGCAGGGCTTTCTCCCCGGGGCCTTGTAGCCAGGGGTCCCTGGGGCCCTTGGGGTCCTGCGCCCCTGCCGGCAGGCAGCCTGGCCTCTCCGCGATGCCACCAGCAGGAGCTGCTGGGCCTGGGAGTGCACCCCACCCTCACTGGGGGCCCTCTCTGGTCCGGCCAGGGTCAGCCGCTGAGGCCATCCCAACAGCTCCGCCATGTCCTCCGGAAAGCGCTGGAGGACGCTGGGATGGAGGTCCCGCCCTGCGCACAGAGCAGACACTGACCCTGCGGAGAAACACCAGGGGAGCAGCTCGGCCACAACCTACATGATCTGGTGGGGTTTCTGCTCCCCAGAGCTGAAGAATGCGGATTACCCTGGTCTTGGAGCAGCGGTCTCATTGTTTGAACCCTGGATGCTAAATATAGTTGCTTACCACAGATAAATCACCGTTTTTTTTTAAAGATTCTATTTATTTACTTGAGAGAGGGAGAGCGTGTGTGTGCACCTGGTAGGGGGAGGGGCAGAGGGAGAAGCAGGCTCCCCGCAGAGCAGGGGACCCAACACGGGACTTGAACCCAGGATCAGGGATGGAGACCTGAGCCGAAGGCAGGCGCTTGACCAACAGAGCCCCCCAGGCACCCCGCAGGTTGGCCCAACCACCTGCACCCCAAGTCCTCGCGTGGAAGTCCTCGGCAGGGTCTCCGGTCTCTGCCCCCACCCCCCACCCACCAAGGAACCGTGTCTTCCTTGGGTTTCATTAGGAGCCACTGTTCTTGTTCTACTTCTGAGTGACCCACATTTGGTGAAATGAAGTCCCGGCATCTCTCAGGCGGGGGGCCGAGGTTCGGGATTGCCGGACTTCCTACCCAATAACAGCATTGCCCGTTTCCTTGTTTTCAGCATTTTGACAAAGTCATGGGGGCCACCTCAGGCTACTCAAGACGATCTTCGACTCTCGTGTTTAGACGGCGGGGGTGGGGAAGGGGTGCTGCCAGCTGGGGGCTGCGCCAGGGCAACAATGGGGACCCAGGGAACCGGAAGAGGGAGTAACTCGGCATAAAGAATTGTTAACCAGGCATTAAGGTACAGCCAACTTGGTATAAAAAAAGTTAAACCTTGGGGCGCTTTGGGGGCTCTGTCGGTCAAGTGTCTGCCTTCGGCTCAGGTCATGATCCCGGGGTCCTAGGATCGAGTCCCGCATCGGGCTCCCTGCTTCTCCCTCTTCGTCTGCCTTTCCCCACCCCCAACCCCATGCTCATTCTCTCTCGATCTCTCCAATAAATAAAATCTTTTTAAAAATTTTAAAAAAGAATAAAAAAGAATAGTTAAGCCAGTATGGAGAACTGTTGAGGAGGCAGAAAGAAGGGTTACCCAGGCAGAAAGAACATTAACTTGGTGTGGAGAATGGTTAACCAGGCATAAGGCGCATTTCATCTGCTCGCCGCGGGGCTGCTCACTGGGTGCCTGACAGGTGGGGAGCGGGTGGGCA